TAGCATGCATGCTACAGAGGCCTTGATTCTCTCCCTCGTCTCTCTCTCTCTTTTTTCTCTCTTTTCATTTATCTTTCTCTTTTTCTTTTAAATTCTCTCTTTCCTTCCCCCTCTCTCTTCCCCTCTCTCTCTCTCTCTCTCTCTTTCTCTCTCTGTTCATTTCTCTTTTTCTTTCAATTTGTATCTCTCCCCGTCTCCCTGTCTCTTTTTCCTCTCTGTTTTCCGAACTTACGTCAGCTTACATGACCTATGTAGTAGTATGCATGCTACATATGGGCCTTGATTCCCTCTCTCTTCTCTCTCTCTCTCTCTCTCTCTCTCTCTCTCTCTCTCTCTCTCTCTCTCTCTCTCTCGCTGTGTCTGTCTATGTCTCTGTCTCTCTGAATTTAAGTTTCAGTAGAATGCAGACCTGCATTTCCATCAAACGAAACAACAGCTACGATATCATAAAACATGCACATTCTAACGGGGCTTCATGAAAAACTATGCCGTTTCTATTGGCCGTACTAAAGGAATTCTTTATTATTATTACTCACAACCGATGTTTCATAGTTTGCACCGCCCCCTCTCTCTCCCTCTCTCTCTCCCTCCCCCCTCTTTAGGTACTCTCTATACCAATCAATTTCAAGGTTTAAAAACTTCTCTTCGTTTTCATTTCCAATACACTTGTCCAAAAGACGAGAACACCGCGCTCCGACGTAATGAATTTCTCCCTTGTTGTGACAAATGTGTATGTGTGATGAATAATATCCAATGAATTGAGCAAACATAATAATTATGTTAAAGTAATTTTCTGATGGATCCACCCAAAAACCTAAAGAAATATTAATGAAATGAAATTACAGGCGAACTACGCTTATTATACGCCATCACCTTTTGGTAACAATGTGCTCCTATAGGAGAATTAAATTAGGATCGATCAGATCAAATGAAAGTGAGGAGGACTCAGTTTATAATTATGTGCTGTTGTGCTTAAATTGGAAACAATTTTCTTTCCTCTTTTCATGAAATGAATGTGATAATGTAATGTATTTTTGATAGATAAAGTGTACATCTTCATAGAACTTTATTCATCAATATTTCATATTCAATATTTATCGAACAGTAAAACTATGATTTTTATATCAAGAATAAATCATAATTAATGTAAGAATCGTTTCATGAACAAGAGGTGAGGAAACTTTTGTACTGGTATCAATATGTGAAGAGGCTAATTTAAAGGTGTAGTACATACTGGTGTTACTCTGAGCAGAGACGCTTGTGGTGTGAATGTGTAATTCCTGATGATGCATTACACTGGTACTGCCGAACTTACAATGCCACAGCTGAGAACATGTTAAAATGTTAACACCATTGCAGACCAACCATTCAAAACTTACTTCAGAGGTGAGAGGGTTGAAAGATGAAATGAAGGAATGTAAAGTAAAGATTTCCAAGAATCAACAAAAGATGGAGGAAAAAGTTGATGAACTCAAAAAGGATATGTCGATCCACTCAGCAGAAGAGGTGGAAAAACTTATAGCAGTTAAACTAGATTAACTCGTGGAAAGAGAGAAGGAAGAACAATAGTATCGTATATGGTATTCCTGAATCTCAGAGTCAGGATGCCTAAGTTAGAAAGAAGGAAAATCGTGACCAGATAAGCTCTATCTTTCACCAAGACCTCAATCTGGAAGCAGATGTAAGTCATGTAAGATCTTTGTATGAGGCGCCGTTTGTAAAACAATTATATAGACAAATTATATGTTATATAATCATTATTTAACATATAATTTATAAATAATGAAATTTAGAATTGTAATTATTTATAAATAATTGCAATTATATATAAATAATAATTATGTATTTTGTCATTATATATAAATAATGAAGATGTGGTTTGTAATTATTTATAAATAATGGCAATTAGGCCTATATATAAATAATGAAACGTACTTTGTCATTATTTATAAATAATGGAAATGTGAATTGTAATTACTTATAAATAATGAAGTATGAATTGTTATTATTTATAAATAATGAGAATGTGTATATACAAATGTATTTTATGCCTCAGTCACACCTTTGCGCATGTTGCTGCGTATTGCTGCGCTCTGCGGGGTATATCAATAGGCAGCCGTGCCCAGCAATACGCAGCAAATTTGAAGGTAGCAGTCACACTATTGCGTATCTAGCTCGTAGGTAGCTCGTATGCCGCTCGTACAAAGACTGCCTACGGTTGCCTATGGCCACGCTATAGCTCGCTGTTGCTCATAGCAGTACGATTCAGTACGCAGTTTGCTCGCCATGTTGCGTATGTAGCTCGTTTGATGCTCGTCTGCTGCTCGTTAGCCGCTCGCACCAGGTGGTCTCGTCGCGTGTTCGCTCGCTCTAGCTCTTCTGATGTTCGTTCTAATGCGTGTCGGCTCGCGCTACAGTACCAGCTCGTTCGGGCTGCGGCATATGTAAAAATACTAGTCATTTTGTGTGACATTATTGAGGAATACGGTGATAAGCTGGTGAGGTGACCAACCAGCCCACAGGAATGAAAAGCAGTCGCACAGGGCTTCGAAGACCAAACCCCAAACCTTGGTGCTTTGAACGGCAAGCATGTTGCAATCAAGTGCCCTGAGGATAGTGGGTCAATATTTTACAAATACAAGGGTTTCTACTCAATTGTACTCATGGCCCTGGTCGACGCCAAGTACACATTTGTGTGGATAGATGTCGGGTGCACAGCTCTTCAACTCGTGTGAACTAAAACAACGTCTTGAATCTGAAACCCTTGGAGTGCCTCTGCCAGAGCCAATGTCCAACGATGATGAAGACACCCCTACCTTTTTGTGGCCGACGAGACCTTCGCCATGACGACATGGCTAATGAAGCCGTACGCAAGGAGGGCTATGGCTAGACCAGAGAGAATTTACAACTACCGGCTGTCCCGGGCAACGAGATTGGTGGAGAATGCTTTCGACATTCTTACCAATAGGCAAGCTCCTTCTCTTGGTCACTTGAGAAGTTGACTAGGTCTTTCCGTGGCTTCTTCGCCACGTTCGTCTCCTCGTGTTTACCCCCCCCCCCCTTTTTTTTTGCTTTGGCTTTCGGCATCTTCTTGTTCAGTAGTTGTATATTCTTCAAATGTTGACTGCCGATACGCAGCGCAAAGGCAACTAATCGCAGTGATAGCGAGCTAAAGCGTGCTGCAACCAGCGACTGCGAGCTAAAGCAAACGGCGTACGAGCTAGACTCGCAGCGTAGCGAGCGGCAATCGCAAGGGTTTTTTGCTGCTGCGAGCGATGTGCGAGGAACAGCGCAACAATACGCGCAATTATGCATATGGACACGAGCTAAAGCGAGTCGACGCTAAATTTTGTATTAAGATTTGGCTTGCCCCCCTCCCCCCCCCCCCTGTCGCCGGCTGGATCCTCTGCAGGCGCGGATCCGCGGGGGGGGGGGGGGGGCTGACGGATCAACAACAGCAAAAAAGTTTTTTTTTCTTCAAGTATTAAACAAAAAATTCTCACGAAGAAGGCCAAAAAACTAAAAAAAAGTGGTCTTACCCACCCCCTTACCCCTGCTTATTTACCGGCTGGCTGAGTCGGCGTACAATATTTCCTGAAAAATTGGACAAAAAAAGTGCCTCCTACCCCCCCCCCCCCCCGCTTATTCACCGGTGGTTGAGTCGCAACTAAATTTTTCGCACAGATTGGGCCCCCCCCCCCCCCCTCTTCCCGCCGGCTGAATCCGCCACTGCCCCCCCCCCCCCCCCCACCCCCCAATGACCGCATGCGTGTTACCAAAATGTCCGGTAAAGGGGTACTTTTCAAGCACCAAAGTCCGGCTCGTACATACACAAAATTGACTTTACACACCGGACTTAGGGGGTGTTTTCAAAAGGAGGGAACACGCATATGCGCACCCTAAATAACACTGAGATGGGGGGCCGGGACCCAGACAGACTTAGAGAACTAAACTACCTACTTTGGCTTACAGAAGACAAAGAGCAGACCAGATACAGATATTAAAAATCCTTAGAGGATTTGACAGAGTAAATCCCTCAAACTTCATCCAACTAGCCACTGGCTCCAAGCGCGGATCCAGGGAGGCCGAGCTCTGGTCTGCTCTTTGTCTTCTGTAAGCCAAAGTAGGCCTTGACTCCCCCCCCCCCCCCCCGGCCTAAAAAAAGAAAAGAAAAGTGCTCAAGGGGGGGGGGGGGAGCAGGGAGGGTGTTGAGCGAAATAACGGCCGGTGCGTTTTTCAAATTTCCGGGAGCAAAAAAGAAGGAAAAAAATGAAAAATGTGCTCACTTACCCTCCCCTTACCTTTTTTATTGCTCAAGGGGGGGGGGGGGGGTTGAGCGAAAGAACAGCCGGTGCGTTTTTCAAATTTCTGGGGGCAAAAAAGAAGGAAAAAAATGTGCTCATTTACCCTCCCCACCCCCTTTTTTTTTTTGCTCAAGGGGGGGGGGGGGGGGGGTTGAGCGAAATAACGGCAGGCGCGATTTTCAAATTTCCGGGGGCAAAAAAGAAAAAAAATAGTGCTCACTACCACCCTACCGTCCTCGCCCCCCCCCCCCCCCCTTTTTTCCAATAGCTCTTCCTCCCTCTCTCTTTCTCTACTCTCCACCTACCTTAAGTTTCTCTTTTTTCCATGCTCTTTCTTGCCTTTTTTCCTTTCTGGTTTGTATTTGAGTCTACTCTTGTCGCGCGCTCTCTCTCTCGCTCTCTCTACCACATCATCACTCTTTATACATATTTTCCTCCTCGTTGGTTGTTCGTACACATGTGTATTCAAGTCAAATTACTTCTCTCTCTCTCTCTCTCTCTCTCTCTTCCTTAGTGGTTACAGGGCCTACATGTATGTCTATACTTTTGTCCATCCCTATCTCTTTCTTCATCCACCCTCTCTCTCTCTCTCTCTCTCTTTATATATATATCTCTCTATTCCCCTCCCCCTCTGTCTGCCTTCCCTCTAACCCTGCAAAATACAGAACAATGAATAAAAAACAATACACACATTTCTATATTTGCTGTGCATTTCTATGTTTAAATTGCAAAGTTTAACATTTTATGAACCCTCAGATTAGTCCAAGCATTCTTCAATAAATGAGTTGCAATTTTAAAATAATTTGCCATTATACATCATCCAAAAGGGGTGTTTTGCAGAGTGTTTCTCCAATATATGACGACAGTTTTAGAAATTAAATTAGTATACACCTATATGGATTATAACACATATAAACAATACAGCATACAAGCATTGGACTCTCAGTGGGGCATAGGATTCTGTTAAATATATAGAAGCAAATAAACAAACCCCTGAAATTATAGGAATAACAAGCACATAAAGGCTCAAATATATTCAAGTATTACTCCCCAAAAAATCACAGCTCCCCTAAATCAGGCCTGTAATTCTGAATCTTGATGGCATTACAGAACGGTAGTGCCTTTTATAAATCCTTGAAAACTATGAACACATGTTTACCTCTCAAATTGACAACAGAAAATCATTAAAGGTACCAGTCATGCATCAATCTACTTCAAAATCATTGTTGTGAGCAAATATCTTTGAAAAGTTTGCTTTGATTGAAACAAATTAGTATAATTCAAATTTTTCTTTTTTTAGATAAATATCTTCTTTAATTATTTTTTTTCTTCTCGGTTATCATGAAAGCCAAAACAAATTTTTTAC